GTGTTCATACCCTGAGATTTTAAATCAGTAGGCCTCAAGTGGGGTCCAGAAATGTGTTACTTTATAAAGCCCCATGGAGACTCTGAGGTCCCGCCCCAGGTGAAAACCTCTGATTTAGACCAAACCTACATTGAACAGATGAGAAAGCTAAGGTCTGGAGAAAATTATTTCCCTAGAATCAGAGAGTTTGTGGTAAAACTGGGGCCAATTTGATGATGATTTTAATTTAATAAATGTTCACCAAGTGTCAGTCCCAGTGCTAAGTTCTTTACCTGTCTTATTTCAGTGAGTCCTCCCAACAACTGGGTGTGTAACATTTCAGAGAGGAAGAAAATGAGTTTAAAAACGTGAAGTGACCTTCGAACCTCGGTCTCAGGACCCCAAAGTCCAAGCTCTTTGCCATTCTAGCACTTCCTCCACCAGGGGTGGGCCTTTGCCCATTACATCACACCCAGCTCTCACTCCAGGCTTCTCCAGGGAGCAATCAGGGTCCAGAAGAGAGGAGCTTGAGCAAGATCCAGAGATGGAGTCACTATTTGGCTAATAAGGCTTATTTCTTCTCCAGGGCCCCTTCCAAGACCCTGGGAGCACCTCTAGCAGTGTGTTCATCTGGTCCTGTTGTTTTAATATTTAAAAATTTTTTAAACCTATTTTTGTATTCTTTGCCTTAAAGAGGGCTCCTCCACATTGTCTAAATTGCAGGTTGGTAAAACTTGACCTGCCCCACCATTACCGAGGAGCAAAGCCCAGAAGCCCAGTCAACCAGCGTTTCTTTACCAAGCATCTCTCTGCCCCTCAAAATGAATCACTGCTCCTTCCAGTCCGTACGCTGCTCGTTTGGGTGGGGAGTGGACACGCACCAGGTAATTCTCGTCTCAGAGCTTCTGACTCAGGCTATGAGGGCCCAGCTGGGCCCTGGGGCTTTCTGTGTGGGGGTGAACCCTGGTCCCCATGGAGGGCAAACTCAGTCCCCAGCATCTTGGTCTCTTCTCCTGTGCTAAGGAGCTTCACAGTCCCCTGGCATATAGCCCTGTTCACACTCTCACATGGCCAATGACGTGGGTAAGAGAGGTGCCCATGACGATCTTGTGTGCCAAGCAACCCCTTGGGGCAGACACAGAAAGCTGTCCATCAGAATTTCGTGGTTCCCCTCCCATAGTGTAGTGTGAGCGCTGGGAAGTGGCTTCCAGCCAGGGGTAACGTTTCCCAGCCTCGTTTGTAGTTAGCTCGGCCATGTGACAAGCGGTCGTCAGTGGGATGTGAGTGAGGAGCATCACCTCAGGCTTAGGCCACAAACACCCTCCCCGGGCTGCTACTGCGCGGCCATCCTCCCTCCCAGAGCTGCACGCTGCGGGCGGCTGAACTTCGGGCCTCCTGAGCCCCACCACGGCTAGGACGCCGTCTACCTCGCTAACCTGTGCCCGCTCGGAACTTCATGTAAGAAAGATACACAACTTCTATCGTGTTTGGGCCACTGTACTTTTTTGGGAAATTGTTTGTTAGTAATTAAAGTAATTAATATTCCTCTTTTCTTTTCTTGGGAATTGACACCCCCACTCAACCACCTGTCTACTGGGGAAGACCATGCTCTCGTGGGACCATAACCCACCGGCCACGGCTGAAGGGTCAGGGTTGGGCACCTGAATGGGGCAGAGCCAACAAATCTCTTTAAAGGATTTCGGAGCCCGTGGCCCAGAAAGTCCACAGAAGCAGCCGCCACCAGGAGAATCAGATGAAGGAGCTCTTGCTTTTGGATATTTCAAAGCCATACTTTTATCCTTGCCCTTCCTGTAATTAGTTTCCTCCCGGCCTTGGTTCTCTGAGCCACTCAATTCCCCTTTGCTCCAATTAGTCAGAGTTGGGTTTCTGCCGTTTGAAATGCGAGCGAGACCTGGTTAATGTACACAGATTGAAGATAAGGTTGGGGGGGAATGTGCACAGTAATGATTGAGTGAAGGTCTCCAGGCTGCTCCTCCAGCTCCCAAATCCTGCCTCCACATCTCCGTAGTCTCTAAAACACTCACAAAGCCCACCCCTGGACTCTGCTCATCCTTTGGGCAATGGCTCCCAGAGTCCACGGCCCCCAGTAAAGTCCAGCCATCAGGATAATTCAGAGAACATAATGATATGATAAACTTTACCTTTTCACTATCCAAAGAAGGCTCAGGGCCAGGTAGGCAATCGTGCTTAACAAATAAGCCAGAGGCAGATCATAGGTTAAATTCTGAAATTTCACCCCGTCAATGGTGTAATGTCCATAAAAGAGGCAAGTCTCCTCCAAGAAACCCTGAAACAAAGTCACAGGCATGAGGTCAGACTGGTAAGTTCACTGTAAGGAACCAGGAGACTAGACTCTATCTCAAGAAGTCACATTCCAGTGTCATTGTTCATCCCTGAATTCCCAGATACTAGAACACAATTCCAGAGATAAAAGGGTTGCTTAGTGTTTGGGGAATAAAGCACAGATAATACCTGAGTATTAAAAATACACAGGTCTATGATCCAAAAATGAAATTTAAAAACCAATTCCATGTGCAATAATAGCAAAAAAATATATAACATACTTAGGAATAGATTTAACAACTGAAATGCAAATCTTATATTCTTAAAGTTAGAAAACATTATTTAAAAAATTAAAGAAGATCTAAATAAGTGGGAAAACATCCCATGTTTATGGATCAGGAAATCCATGGTAGCACTCCCCAACTGATCTACAGATTCAACATCCTTATCAGAATCCCAGCCGGCTTCTTTGTAGAAAGTGACAAGTTCATATGGAATTGAAAGGGACCCAGAATAGCCAAAATGATATTGGAAAAAAAAGAACAAAGTTGGAGGACTTACACATCCCAATTTTGAAATTTGCTGCAAAACAACAGTAATTAAGACAGTGAGGTAGTAATATAAGAACAGAATATAAATCAATGAAAAAGAATGGAGTCCAAAATTAAGCCCATACATTTATGGTTAATTGGTTTTTGATAAGAGAAAAGAATAGTCTTTTCAAAAAATGGTGCTGAGACACCTGGATAGCCAAGCGCAAAAAAAATAAACTCAAACCCGTACCTTACACCATATGTAAAAGTTTACTTAAAATGGATGAAAGACCTAAATGTAAGAGCCAAAACTATAAAACTCTTAGGAAAAAAATACAGGGCTAAATCTTCATGACCTTGGATTTGGCAGTGGATCCTTAGATAGGACACCAAAAGAAATAATAGCAATCAAAGAAAAAATAAATTGAACTTGATCAGAATTTAAACTTTTGTGCTTCAAAGGACACTATCAGGAAAGTGAAAAGACAATCCAGAGAATAAGAAAAAATACTTGTAAATCATATATCTGATAAGGTACTTGTATCTAGAATATATAAAGAACTTTTATAACCCAACAATAAAAAGATATATAATCCAATTAAAATGGAAAGAGGCCCAGGCTAGGTGGCTCAGTTGGTTGGAGCATCGTCCCATTCACCAAAAGGTTACCGGTTTGCTTCCTGGTCAGGGGAACACACCCAAGTTTCAGGTTCGATCCCCAGTTGGGGCGTGTACAGGAAGCAGCCGATCGATGTTTCTCTCTCTCTCTCCCACACTCCTTTCATCCCTCCCTATCTCTCTCTAGAAATCAACGAAAGCATATCCCTTAGTGAGGATTTTTTTTTAAATGAAAAGAGGATCCAAATAGACATGTATTCAAAGAAGATAAACAAATGGCCAGTAAGCACATGAAAAGATGCTCAACATCATTAGCCATTAGGGAAATACAGATCAAAACTGCAAAGGCACAGCTTTGGCTCTTTGCTTATAGCATCATCCGGATAAGCCAAGGTTGAGGGTTTGACTCCCAGTCAGGGCACATACAAGAATCAACCAATGAATGCATAATTAAGTGTAACATCAAATCCATGTTTTTCTCTCTCCCTTCCTCTCTCCCTCTAAAAAGTTAATAAAGAAAAAAAAAAATAAATAAATACACAAAGACATTCCACTTCACACAAACCAAGGTGGCTATAATAAAAAAGTCAGGTAATAGCAAGTGTTGACAAGGATATGGAGACATGAGAACACTCATGAAGTACTAGTAAGAATATAAAATGGTGCAGCCACTTTAGATAAGCCTGACATTTTCTCAAAAAATTAAAGATAGGGTTACCATTTATTTGATCCAGTGATTCCACTCCTAGGTATATACCCCCAAAGAAGTGAAAACATATGTCTGCACAAAAACTCACACATGAATGTTCATCACAGCATTATTCAGAACAGTCAAAAGGTGGAAACAATCCAAATGTCCATCAGGAATAAAGAAACAAAATGTGGTATTTCCATACAATGGAATCTTATTTGGCCATAACAAGGAATGAAAGACTGATAGATGCTACAACACAGATGAACCTTAAAAACATGTCAAGTGAAAGAAGCCAGAGACAAAAGACCACATGTCATATGGTTCTATTTATATGAAATGTCCAGAATAAGCATTTCATTGAAACATAAAGAAGATTAACAATTGCTGAGAGCTAACAATGGCGACTGGGAAGGGATACCTAAAGGGTATAAAATTTCTTTTCGGGGTGGTGAAATATTCTAAAAGTGATTGTGGTAATGCCTGCACAACTCAGTCATATACTAAAAACCACTGAATTGAACACTTTAAATGGGTGAATTATATGATAGGTAAATTATATCTCAATAAAGCTATTAGCCAAAGTAATAATAATAATAGAAAGAAAGAAGTGACCTATGTGAAAATATAGCACAGAACAGTCCCTGACTTTTTTTTCTCTTTTTTTTTAATATATCTTTATTGGTTTCAGAGAGAGGAAAGGAGGGGAGGGAGAGAGATAGAAACATCAATGATGAGAGTCATTGATCAAGCCCGCAACCCGGGCATGTGCCCTGACCGCGAATCGAACCCCGATCACCTGGATCCTAGGTCGACGCTCAACCGCTGAGCCACGCCCGGCCGGGCAACAGTCCCTGACTTCTCATGGAAAGAGTAACTGACCACCTCAAATTCCTCCACGGATGGCAGGAAAATTCCAGGATGAGGAGAGGACATACACGAAGCTGCAGCACACGCAGCACAGAGATGTTCACCACAGCACTGTTTACAAAGCAGGAAAAAGGAGGCAACCGCAGCATCCCTCAACAGGGGCCCGACCAGAGCAGGAAAAATCCAGACTCTAAAATATTACGTAAGGCCCTGTAAGCACATGAGAAAGGGCAAGAAGGCTATGAGCCATATAGTGTTCAAGGTTTAGTGACCTCTGGAGAGGGATAGTCACATTTTGCTCTATAAATTCTGTATTTTTTATGACAATCGTGTATTTTTCTATTAATTAAAATTTTTAACAGGAAAAAAAAAAGTAGTAACAGAAGACTCTATCTTTCTTTTAACTCTCCCGAAGGCGGGCACACAGGCCATAAAAACTTGCCCAACGACATGAAACCTGTTTACATTCCCTGGGGCTGATATCAGGGTTATTATTAATCTCTCCCTCAAAACGACGTAACATTACAGGGTAAAGGTTCACTGGGCCAGGAAAATAATTTTTCTGATTTTAAAATGAGCTTAGCTCAATTGTTTTCAACGAAGACAAACACTGTTGGATCTCTCTGGCACTCTCAGGCCGATCTAAACTTAATTTTTTTTTTTTTTTTTAATATATCTTTATTGATTTCAGAGAAAGGAAAGGAGAGAGAGAGAGAGAGAGAGAGAAACATCAATGGTGAGAGAGTCATTGATCAGCTGCCTGCTGCACGCCCCCGACTGGGGATCGAACCCGCAACCCGGGCATGTGCCCTGACCAGGAATTGAACCCCGATCACCCGGATCCTAGGTCAACGCTCAACCACTGAGCCACGTCCGGCCGGGCTAAACTTAAATTTTTAATAAAATTAAAATTCAGTGTCTCAGTCACAGTAGTCACATCTCAAGTGCTCAAGAGTTAGTGGCTATTGAATTTTACAGCACAGTTCCAGGACATTCTCATCATTGTAGAATATTCTTTTGGACAGGGCTGTTTTTGTCTTGCATACCATATTAAACGCTGATAATCAGGTGCAGCTAAGTCTCCTATAAAATGTTTCCTATAGCCCGGCCGGGCGTGGCTCAGCGGCTGAGCATCAACCTAGGATCCAGGCGATCGGGGTTCGATTCCTGGTCAGGGCACATGCCCGGGTTGCGGGCTCGATCCCCAGTCGGGGGCGTGCAGGAGGCAGCCGATCAATGACTCTCTCATCATTGATGTTTCTATGTCTCTCTCTCTCCCTCTCCTTTCCTCTCTGAAATCAATAAAGATATATTTAAAAATAAATAAAGAAAGAAAATAAAATATTTCCTATAGGTCCTGGCTGGGTGGCTCGGTTGAAGAATCGTACCTATACCAAAAGGGTTGCGGGTTTGATCCCTGGTCAGGATGAGATGTTTCTCTCTCTCTCAATCAGTCAGTCAATCAATAAAAACATATCCTCAGGTGAGGATTTAAAAAAAATTCCTATAAGAAAGATTATGATGTGTGGAGCTCTTACAGATTTCTCTTTGGGGATGTAATCTAAAGAAATGGGGATAACAGCAGTTCTGGGATTTGTTCCCACTTTGTTTTCCATAGTTGTGTGACCTTGGGTGAGTCACTGAATTTTTTTTCTCCTTGTGTAGAGGACATTTCAAAACCCACCTGACAATTCCTCTCCGTTGTTTTGAGAAAAATATCAGAGATGTAAAAAACACTTTTTCAGAATTAAGCACAATGGACAAACTCAATACTTTCTATTATCTATTCAAAAAAGTGGAAGTTCAATGACATAGTATTTTAATACCAATAACTTTCAGAAAGATTATTTTATAAATATCGAATGGAGTGGTTCTCAACGAGCGGCAATTTTGCCCCCAGGAAACATTTGGCAGTGTCTGGAGACATTTCTGGGTGTCACAACTGCAGAACCGCTACTGGCATCTAATGGGAGGAGACCAGGGACGCTGCTAACATCCTACAGTGCACAGGACAGGCCCCCAAGGCAAGGAATTATCAGGCCTGACAAGTCCACAGTGCTGAGGTTGAGAAACCCTGATCTAGAGGGCAGATGGTCACTTTTCATGGCTGTGTTCTTATATGCTGAAAAAAAGTGGGATTAAAAAAATGAAAGCTCACCAAAAAAATCATTTTTTAGAAGAAGGTTAAAAAATCCTTTTGAAATACTATAAGGACGAGATTAATTCCACTTTAGAGAAGGGGGCCTTAACCTGGGATCGGTAGACTTTTAAGGGATTTCAGGACATGTGTACGTATGTGTACAAATGGGGTGAGCACACACATGTATGGGCGTATGTGTGCACGTGTGCATCACACGTCTGGGTATGTAATTTCTACAGAGAAGAGCCACAGCTTCCACCCAGGTGGTCTAGAAACCCCAAATCTTAGGTTTTCAATGTCAGAGAAATTAAATAATTCTATCTGGTTTATTTTCATTGACTTTTCTAAGGGGGAACTCAGTATTTTGTTGCAGGTCAACATGAAGGTGGCTGGGGCAGGAAAAAGGCAATGGCTGCAAGAGACAATGCCTATCTCCTGTGCACTCTAGCAGGTGATGGGTAACATTTTCCTCGCTGAAGAGGTCACTGCAAATCCTGTGCCTTTTACTGGTATTGTGTCCACACTGTTTGGCTCTCACTAACAACATTCAGAAAACTGATGTTTAAATTAACCTATTTTCAGGATCTTGAGGGCTCCAATACAGAATTACGTTAAATACTTACAGTGCCAGAGAGCAAGTCTATGATATAACTGTAAAAGTAGATGAGTCCAGAACTACTTATTGGATACACTGTGCATTGAATATCTGTAAAAAAACAAAAACCAAGATCAGTGGAAACAGTTTCACAGCCTTTATAACTGGTCTATCACACTTTGTGTACACATGCACATATGTGTATGTACACACATTTAGATATCATTATATATAGATATATTTATGTAGGGACGTGTTTGTATGTTAGTGACTTTCTATTTGCAGACCAAACCCCAACGCACCAAGTACAAAAGCATTTCCGTTTCACTATTCTCCCTAAATATCTGGGGATGTATGTTTTTTTCTGTACATTTTGCATGTGGGTCCACTTATAGTAATGTTTTCTGCTCACACTGTATTTTGTGTTTTGGGGTTCATGTTTGTACATGTTTTAGAATAAGTGACTGATATAATTGTTATTCCATTTTAAGCACATCCAATTTTAAAAGCTCTCTATGTGTGTGTAAATATGAAGTTTCATTTGAAAATACATATATTTATATTTGTATAATTAACCAAGAAATTATTTAAATAACAATTTTAGTGACACTACCTTATCCTTGAATTAATTCACTTCCTCTGTGTCAGTCAGTTATTGCTTTGTAATAAATAACCTCAAAATCTCAGTGACTTCACATACCAACCATTTATTTTCTCATTCATGAATCTGCAGTTAGGGTTAATTCAGCTGATTTAGGCTAAGCCAGGATAGACTCTGGGCTTCCACTTGGGCTCAGAACTGCTCCCCATGATTCCATTCTGGGGCCCAGGCTGAAGAGGAAATGGCTCACCTGGGGGATGCTCTCCTCATGGTTTGTCTCATAAGATAAGCCACGCAAAGCCATTTCAAGCTAACACTCCACTAGACAAAACAAGCCATGTGACCAAGTGCAAAAGCAATGGAGCAGGAAGTATTCTCTGTCCACAGTGAGAGGCCCTGCAAAGTCACAAATACAGGGAGCAACAAATTGGGGAAAATAATCCAATTTATCACCCGTTTTCTGGGTCCTAATTTCCCCTTTATTAAAATAAAAGAAATGAACCAGTTTCTCCAGCTCTGCCATTTTATAACTCTAACATGCATGTGTTCATTTACTCATTCAACAAACATTTCTTAATCACTTAGGTGTTGGAGATAACATGATGAGTAAGCAGCAGTTCCTGCCCTTGAAAAGCTCCCCATCAAGGGGTAAAGAAAGACAAGTAGCAGTTAGGTTTACATAAGGTACTCAGATGGTTGCATGAACATGGCATTATACGCAGAGGAGAGAGACAGTCATTCTATTTGGAGAGGAGCCAGGGAGATAAAGTGAGATGCCTGCCACTCTGTTCCTCACTCACTGTCCTCCAGCCTAGAGGTTGGCAAACTATGGCCTGTGGGCCAAATCTGGCCAGCTGCCTGTTTTTGTTAATAGGGACTTAGGGGAACACAGCCTTGCCCATTCATGACATTCGTGGCAACGATGAATAGTGGCAACTGAGACTGTATGGCCTGCAAAGAACAAAATATTTACTATCTGGCCCTTAACAGGAAAAGCCATGCCAGGCTTTTTGTTTCTCTCATATGCTGAGTTACTTCCCACCTCTGGACCTTCACAGATGCTGTTCCTCTGCATGAAGACACTTCCCTGAGTTCAAAAGTTGCCCTCCTCTCACCCTCTTGGGCTGGCCTTAAATGTCCCTGCCTTCACAAAGGGCTTTGGGGACCCCTCAGCCTCCAGTGTCCTGGCGTCCAGCTTCTCAGGACTATCTCTTCCCTTTCCCCATGGCCCAATTCATGCCTTCTATACTTCGTGTGGTTCATTCCTTAAAGCCCACCATCTGCTAGAATGTATTAACAGTGTGGATGCAGGTGTGCCGTTCCCTGCTGTAGCCTCAGTGTCAGGCTCAGGGCCCGGCACACAGTAGGTGCTCAATAAACACTTGTTGAAGGAATGAAGAAGGGAAGGAAAGTGAGAAAAGGAAGAGAAAGGCTTCTGATCCTTTTCTTAAGGGAAAGAGTTTACTAGGTAAATTTTTTTTTTTAAGTGATTTTTTAAGAGGGGAGAAGACACAGAGAAAATAGTGACGAGAAAGAAGGGATGCACGCTGGCCACACTTAGTCCAGCTGCATTTTCTGCAGGGGGGTGACTCCTCTACGACCAAGGCCCTGCCTACGGCTGAAGGGAGAAGTGACCAGGCTGTTGAGTCTAGTAGTTAAGTGCCCAGGCTCGATTCCCATGAGAGACAGAATAGCATTCAGTGCTTCTAGAAAGAAATAACACTAAAAAAGAAAAAAAAAAAAGCTGTCATGTATTGAGCTGTTTCCATGTGCTGACCATTGTATTGTCTTACTTAATACTCATTTTTAAGTTATGAGTACTGCTTAATTATTTAAACATTCTTATTTTCTATGTTAAATGATACAGAATTTATATTACTGTTTCAATTATTTATAATTTAAATAAGTATTTTTTACTTTTAATGAACAAAGTATTAAATAGTGAGGTGTTATTTGAATAATGAAATTAATCGTCTCATTATTTAAATTATCACCGCCAGCCAGGCCGGCGTGGCTCAGCGGTTGAGCATCGACTTAGGATCCAGGAGATTGTGGTTCGATTCCCGGTCAGGGCACATGCCCCGGTTGTGGGCTCGATCCCCAGTCGGGGGCGTGCAGGAGGCAGTCAATCAATGACTCTCTCATCACTGATGTTTTTCTCTCTCTCTCTCTCTCTCCTTCTCCCTTCCTCTCTCTGAAATCAATAAAGATATATTTAAAAATAAATAATAAAATAAATTGTCACCGCCATTCTATGGATAAGGAAACTGAGGCTCAGAAAGTCTAATCAACTAGCAGAGCGAGGCCTTGAAACTGAACCCAGGGTTTTCATATAGCAGCAGGGAATACTTATCTGTAAAACAGACTTATGCAAAAATGAGAAGGTAGCATCCGGCACACAGTAGGCACTCAATACAAGTGCCAATGCCCTGAGCTAAGTCAGGGTTTCCACATTACCCTCATTTTCTTTTGAAGTGTAATGAAATAAAGACAGAAACAAATACGAAGAGGAGGAATGTTTAGGGCCACGGAAGTGATTCTAAAGGAGGAGTCCTCCAGGGAAAGGAATTATGTGACGGGAGAAGTCTGCGGCTGCCACTTCCAGCCCCAGCACAGAACCTGGTACTAGAGGGTAATCAAATGTCTGTGGAATGACCGAAGCTTTCCCCATGTGAATAAAGAAAATACCCAGGAGATCTGGCTTGTGTTGAGAATTCAGTAAGAAGACACAGGCCCAGCACTTGCCATTGGCGCATGACTGGTGTTTAATTAATGGAAGCCCCAAGAATCACCATTTTTGGAGATGAAAGGTGTGAAATGAAAACACTGGAGTAGATTGTATTATGTTTGCTAAATATTCCACTTTCCAAAACTGCAGGTCTCCTCCCAAATGCTTTGCTGAACTCAGGAGTGGCTGAATGACTTGCTTTGGCTAATGAGATGTGGCAGAAATGACGTGTGTCATCTTCAGGCAGAAGCTTTAGGAGACAGCACATTTGTCATGGCTCTTTTTCTTTTGGACATAGTGACTGTGAGTGGTCTAGAAAGAGGGTGCTCCATCAGCTTGGTCTCCAGCATGAAGATAACATGTAAAAAAGCCACCACCAAACAGTGATGGACATGTACTGTGAGCAAGAAACCTCTGTGGATATGAGGTGCTGAGAGTTACAAGGTCATTTGTTTCTGCAGCATAACCTAACCCATCTTGACTAATACAGTAACCCAAGATTAAGAATATAAAGATTTCTAAAGAAGGGAGCACTGTAGCCAGGTAACACTCTTCAGGGAAAATCAGGCCTTAGACTCACCTACGTCTTTGGCTGGAATGAGCACGAAGCTGCTGTTGGTCACCTTGTATCCAGTGAGCAAGACTGGGAGCAAAACCAGAATAAAGATGATCAGAAAGATCACCAAATTCAGCAACACCAGAAATCGCAAGAACGAGAAATAGGACTGAATCCCAGTGCCAAATTTCCCTGGAAGAAAAGAAATCCAGACATCACTGACCAGAAGTGTCGACCCTTTAACCCACTGTAGATTTAATCAGCTACATAGGGCTGAAGTTGGAGGAATCCTGGTGGGAGGGGAGGACAGAGAAACAGTTTATTTTTTTCTACTGTTGAATTTAAGGTTCTATTTTTAATTGTTTAAACTTTGACTTATAAATATACATTCAATTGTGAATTAACCATTTGAGAATGGTGTGCCAGGACTCAATAGTTATCTTTTCTCATATGAAAATCTAATTCACTTCAGCACCATTTACTGCAAGACTATCTTTCCCCAATGAAATACAGTGGTGCTTCAGTAACTGACCAAACGTATGAAGCTGTTTCTGAATTCTCTATTCTGTTCTATTGGTCTATTTGTCTATCCTTGCACCAATACCTGACTGTAATTATTGTAGACGTATAATGATACTTAACATAGAGTGCTATAAGTCCTTCAGCTTTGCTCTTCCTCAGGTATGCTTGGTCCTCTGCATTTCTATATAAATTTTAGAATCAGCATGGTCATTTTCACACATATAAACAAAATCTGCTGAGATTCTGATTGGGATTACATGGAAAACATGTGGGGTCAATTTGAAGACGTGACATCTTTATAATATTAAATTTTCTGATCCATGAACATGATATATTTAGGTTATTTAACCTCAATAATGTATATTTTTATGTGCAGAGTGATTCATATCTCCCTTCATATCTATATTCCTAGGTATTCAATTTTTTTTATGCTATTGTAAATTGCATCATTTTTAAATATTCATTTTCTAAGTGTTTGTTGCTGGTATACAGAAATACAGTTGGTTTTATACAGAGATCTTGTGTCAAGAAACTTTATTTTTTTTAAAAACAGCATTTTGTTTCTTCCTTTCCACTCACTACATCTTTCCCCCCAAGGCTGTACATGGGCTACAACTTCCAGGAGGATGCAGCTTACAGTCAGTGATAATTAGCACCCTTTTCTCGTTCTCGACTCGGGGAACACCTGCAGCATTTCACAGTTAAGTATGATGCTTGCTGCAGAATTTTTATAGATACATTTACCAGACTAAGGAAGTTCCCATCTATTCCTTATTCGCTAAGAATGAGAATTGAATGTTATCAATTATACGCCTTTGTTGGGATAATCATAATTTTTCTCCTAATTCTGTTAAGGATTACAGTCAATGATTTTTCAAGAAGAAAACAAACTTCCCGTCACATAATGGTTCAATTATTAAGGACGGTCAGAAAGCACTTGAAGAGTAAGGATGTCTGCTTGTCCTTTGTGGGAGCAGAAAACTTATCTTCTGAGACTGAAGATATAAGAGATGCACAATCTTTGCTTCTCTCTAACCCCGGGAGCCTTGCCAGGGCAAGGAGCTCGGCTGTCACACCTTCACCTCCTGCCAGAGGAGTACCCTGCCAGCCAGGAAATCACAGGAGTGGAAGCACTGAAGAGAAAATCCAGGTCCCAGTTCCCCAGGGAGAACTGCCCTCCAATACACAAGCCACTTTCTGAATGAAAATCTCCAGAAAGGCTGCGACTTAATAAGACAGGTGTGGTGTATAAAACCTTAGCCTCTGAAGCCTGACTGCCTGGGTTCACATTCTGGGTCTGCCTTGTCCTAGCCAGTGAATTTGCACAAGTGTTTTAACTTCTCTGAGCCATGCAAGTGATAAACACCCGTAGGAAAGGATCTTGCGAGGACTAACGGAGACACTACCAGTGAAATGTTTAACACAAGGCCTGGTTCATAGTAAAGGCTCAATAAAGGCCAGCTTTTATAATTTTACTCCAAATGTGAGTTTTGCTTAACTTTCAAAAGTGGATGGTTGAAGTTCTAAGTTTCTAATGAAACTCCTTAGAAACATGTTTACGTTCTCTGACTAAAACAACCACCACAAAAGGTAGTTCATTGAATAGATTATCAACGATGGTATTTTATAGGTCTTGTAATAGTAATCATGGGGGCGATCATTTCTTCCGTATTTCCTGCATTGCTGCTTACAAATTTCACAAAATGTCCATCCTAGCAGTTTAGAGGAGATACTTTTGTAAATAATTTTGCTTTATGGTAGAAACTATGTAAACCTAAAAGGTATTTTCGCCTCTGGCTCTACTATGTCGCCCAAACGTAAAAATGTTTTTCTCCTAATTTTATACTCTGGTACAACTTCCAATTTTTGTATACTTTCTATAGAATGAATTGTGTCCCCCCAAAATTCATATGTTGAAGCCCTAACCCCAATGTGATGGTATTTGGAGATAGGGCCTTTGGGAGGTAATGAGGTTTAGATGAGGTCATAACGGTGGGGACCTCATGATGGGATTAGTGCCCATATAAGAGGTACCAGTTCGAGAGCCTTCTTTCTCTCCTCCCCTCCCTCGCTCCTGGAGTGTGCACAAAAAAGAGGTCATGAAGACACAGTGAGAAAGTGGCCTGATCTTGAACTTGCAGTCTCCAGAACTGCAAGAAAATGAATGCCTGTAGTCGAAGCTCCCCAGCCTGTGGTACTTTGCCATGGCACCCCAAGCTGCCTAATGCAGTGCTGCGTCCCACCGTCACCGTCTGGGGAAGTAGGGATTCTCAGTGTCCTCAGGGCCATGGGCACCTGTGGCAGTGTGGGGAAGCCTAACGAACGACATCTCAGAATGTTTTAAATGCACAAAATATAAACAAAGCCAGATCTGTGATGGAACAACGCATGAGCATCTTCATTAGCACGTTAAATAGCAAGACCTAGGGGCACATCTAAAGCCGGCTGTAATTTCACAGTAGCGATGAGCTTAAGTGGCTTCCAAGACAACTACGACTGGAAGGAACAGGAAAATATCTGTGACCTTCCTGGTGACAAAGACACAGGCTCTGCCGCTCCTAACTGTGGTGTTGCTCCTGTTCGTGGTGGAAGGGAACGCTAGATTGCCGCTGGAAGTCAGAGAAGGCGAAGCGGCGCCTCTCCCCGGGCCCTGGGGCGGAGCACCGGGCGGAGCACCGGGCGGCGCGGGCGCGGGCGCGGGCACAGTACCTCCTATGCTGCGAATGTCCTCCCGCCACAGCTCCAGGTGGGCCGTCACCTCGCGAGCTTTCTCTAGGAACCTCTTCCAAGACTTGCTGCTATACCGTTTCCACTGGTCCCACTCAGATAAATACTTCATTTGGGTCTCCTGAATGTCCCTGCATTAAAAAACAAGCGTGACAATGACTGTGGCACCACTGCTAAGCCTTAGCATCAACTAAAACCCCAGCGGAGAGGATGTGGAAGCCCTGGCGCCCTCATACGTGACTGGTGGGAATGTAAAATGTGTGGCCACTAGGGAAAGCAGAGTGGCCGTTCCTTCAAAAGTTAAAGCTGGGATTAACATATGACCCAATAATCCCACTCCGAGGTAGACACCCCAAAAGAATGGAAAGCAGGGTCTCAAACCAAAACTTATGCCAGAATATTCACAGCAGCACTATTCACAACAGTCAAAAGGTGGAAACAAACCAAATGTCTATCAACAGATAAACAAAATGAGCTATAGCTACATAACAGAACATTACTCAGCCATAATAAAGAATAAAGTACTGCCCTGACTGGTGGTCTCAGTGGTTAGAGTGACGAAGAGTCATGGGTTCGATTCCCAGTCAAGGGCACATACCTGGGTTGCAGGTTCAATCCCTGCCCTACTCGGGGCACATTCAGGAGGCAACCAATCAATGTGTGTCTCTCACATCGATGTCTCTCTCTCTCTCCTCCACCCTCCCTCCCTTCCACACTCTAAAAATCAATGGAAAAAATATCCTTAGGTGATAACAAAAAAAAACCCTACCAAAAAAAAAGAATAAAGTACTGATGCATGCTACAACATGAATGAACCTCGAAAACATTATATTCTGGATTGGCCTTGTGATCTGGTCAGACCACAGAATGCAGAAGTGATGCTGTACCAGTTCTAAGCCCAGGTTTCAAGAAGACTTGCAGGACTGCCAGCTGTTGCCATGCAAACAAGCCTGAGCTAACCTGGTGGAGGACGAGACCATTCCAGACTAGCCTACAGCCAGCTGACCCCAAGCCTAGATAGCAGAGCTACCTCTCGACCACAGCTCGCCATAGATACATAGTAAGCCCAAATGGAACTAGAAGAATTGCCCAGTGCTGACTTGTAGACTTGTGAGATTATTGCTTGAAACTACAAAGTTGTGGGGTGACTTATTACACAGCACAGCTAACTTGGTGCACTCATACTCCAGACTCTTTCCCTTTCTATTGGCCAGATGCAGACAACAGTGAAGCTTTGGGAGGGTTGCAGAGCCACAAGATGGAAAGAACCTGGTCCCTAAGTGACTGCAAAGTCCTCCACTGACCTGATCCAGGACTTTTATGTGAGTAAGAAATAAACTTCTAATAGACTGAGCTTTTACATGTTTGGGTATCTTTGTCACAGCAGCTTAGCTTACTCTAAGAAAAGAAGTTTTGATTATGTGAGCTCTTGAGGAAACGCAGGCCATGCATAAAATGCACCTCTGCCCCAAACCTACATCAGATGCCTTCCAGGTGGCTATTGAACAAACCTTAGTCTCCGCTTCTCAGAGATGTTCAGTGCATACTTTCGAATGGATTGGCCATCGAGGTTTTCAGTGATTCCCTCCTCCAGCTGAGAGCTATAAGAGTCTACTGGCTTCAGCAAAGTGCCACTTTGCTTGTCTCGAGAAGGGATGTTCGTCCTCTTGCGTGCAACGGACCGGTAGCTTGGCAATTCTTGCAGGAAATTCACAGGTGGAGAAGAAAAGCAACTGGCATCCAAACATAAGTTCTCTGGGTGGGAAAGAAGAAAAGCATCATTTACTCACAGTGAGCCAACAACTTTTGTTGGGAGCCAACAAGAATAAGTTGCATAGGAGACTTGGACCACAAAGACCATAACTCAGCCTTGGAGACAGCCACTAGCCTGGGCCACTGACAAAAGCGTTGGTATCTTATTTTATTTACCAGGATGGTGCTCAGGACAATGAAATCATCTGCAAATGGGTTCCCTTTCAACAGATGAGTTTGCAAATATGCTCTAAGTTACGTGATATCTGAGTGCTAGTGTTTGGGGCTGCGACCACTAGCTAAATGTGTGACCTAAGGCAGTTAATCTAAATCTCTCTGTTCTTCATTTGTCAAATGGGGCTAGTAATATTTGCCTCAACTATCCTCACACAGTATAGGGTAGAATGACGTATGGAATAAAACATTGAAAAGGAAAAAGTGCCTTGCATAGTAACAACAACAATGTTTACAGAACAATTCCTATGAACCAGGCACTGTGTTGAGAGTTTCACATGCATCACGGGATTGGGACTAGCCCTGTGATCTGCTTGGACCACAGAATACAGTGGAAATGATGCTATGCCAGGTCTAAGCTTGTGGATTTCTCTGCTCTCTGTACCCCAGCTTCTGCCATGTAAACAAGCTGAGCTTACCTGCCAGACAATCAGACCACGCGGAGCTCGATGACCACCCTGCTGAGACCAACCCAGACCAGCCTACAGCCAGCTGATGCCCAGCGGACCACAGACACTCCACATACTGGGGATGGGTTTATTATCATCCCCATTTTACAGGTGAGAGAATAGAGTCATTGATGGTTCCCCAACCCCTTGTCCAGGCCCTCAAAGTCCTGCATGATCGGACTCCTGCCTGCCTCTCCAGCTCCTCAGGCTCCCTGCCCTACACCCACACACTTTTGGGGATCTTTCAGATACTAAAATGTGTCCCCTCCTCCTCAGAGCCTTTGCATATGCTGTTCCCTCTATGCCTGGAATGGACGTGCCTACCTCTTTAACCTCTTAGCTCCTGCTCAAATGTCACTTCCTCAGGAAACTGTCCCTGCCTCACTGCACTAGTGCAGGTGCCTTGTTACACACTGTTCCATACCAGTGAGTCCTCCACAGCACTTATCACATTCTTGGTTCACTGTCTCCCCCAGTGAACCAAGACCTAGCACCATCCTTGGCTCAGAGCGGGAGTTCGTAAGTACCAATCGGGAGGATGCAGGAATGGATGGCAATCCTAACTTGCTCATGTTTACAGAAGCTGTGAGCAGGGGTGCTGGGAACAGAACCAGGTCTGCCTGGCTCAAAAATTTATATTTGCTCTACTACATCAGGCCACAGCTAGAGGCTAAGCTTTGCTGTGCCTTGTGCAGTGGTCTAAGGGAAGTCCTTCTGTTGAAGGTGAGGGACACTGCCTTCAGGATGGGTTTCATGCCTGATCCAATTTTAGTTGTGGGACAATCACTCTGAGTGGAGACAGGACACAAGGAGAGAAAATAGGAGGGAGCCATAATTAACTAAACAATTAACCCTACAGGGAGCAGAGCATCTACGGCTCAATGTTAGATGCTAAATTGCTTGGGTTTGAATCTTGGCTCTGTTAGTTACAGTTGTGTCCTTAGGAAATTTATTTAACTTTTCTGAGCCTCAGTTTCCTAAACTTTAATATATATTCATTCAACAAATATATCTACCAAGTGTCAGATCTGGCGCCTGAGCTGAGCAAATGCCCTGTTCATGTGGTACTTATTTTCTAAGGTGAGGGCAGGGGGGATCAGACAATACATAGGCAATACATATTATGCCAGGAGGCAATAAGTGAAAAAAGATACAGAGTGGGGTAAGGGAGCAGAGGTGATGGGCAGAGTACACTGTTTTTGATAAGCTGGGGTCGGGTATGGTCTCTATTAAGGTGGCATTTAAGCTGAGGCTGAATGGAGGGAGGTGTGAGCCCTGTGGATATTTGGGGAAGAGGAAAACAGCAAGTGCAAAGGCCCTGGGGCAGGGATGTGCATGGCAGTTTGAAGAAGAGCACGGAGACCTGTGTGGCTGGAGAAAAGTAAATGAACGAAAAAGTAAATTAATGGAAGTTTCATTGGTGGTCCCTGATGAGCCACGCCAGCCCTCTATTGCCCCCTCTTGAATCCGGGCTGGACCTGTGGCTTAACCAAAGGATGCAACAGAAGTGATGCTCTGCCAGCTGCAGACCCAAGCTTTAAAAGTGCTTGAAGCTTCCTACATGGGCTGCCATGTAAAGAGTCAGACTAAGCTGCTGGGACAACTACATGGAGAGGAAGAGGCCCCAACCTTCAACGAGAACCAAAGGTCCCAGGCTTACGACCCTGGCAGGCCATTACAACCAGGCCCCAGACCTCTGGGTCATCTGCACCAGGTACCGCCATGGGTGTGAAGAGGCCATCTGGACACTCGGTCCCAGCAAACATGACATCCAGCAGAGCAAACCCTCTCCTCCAGGCTCCACTGATTCCCTGATGCACAGAATCAACAGAAATAATAAAATGGCTTTAACCACCCCGTTTGGAGCAGTTTGTTAAGCAACAACAGGTAACTGGGACAGGGAGGATGGAAAAGCGGAGGTCAAGGTCAAAGAGGTGGCAGGGCCAGACCAAGTCAGACTTTGTTGGCTGTGCTACGACCCTTGGATGTGGCAGACGAAAAGCCACTGAGGGCTCTGGGCCGAAGCATGTCATAATCTGACTTAATTTTAAAGGATCACTCTGGAGGCTTTGAGGCTAAGGACAGGACCCACCACAAGGGCCCACTTATGAGCACTGAAAGCGATCCTACAGATGGAAGCACTCAGTCCACTGGACTCCATCAATGCCCATGTAGCTAACAGGACAAGGAGGGGCTCCCCAGCAGGGACAGAGGGAGTGCTGGGGAGCAGGGAGCCAGCCAAGGCCTCGCTCTGAGTGGGAGTCTGACAGGGCAGGGCTGTAACCTTCGCCTCTCTGATGGGCTTGTGCAGACACAAAGGAACAGCTGTCCCACCGCAGATGACACACAGCCACGCGTCTGGAGCCTGGCCAGTTGCCAAGTACAAGGCTGCCAGTCTCCCTCAACCTTCCATTTCCCTGCCCCAGTGCACCCCGAGGATATGACACACTTCCAATTAGTAATGATGGCTCCCTAAAGCAAATCAGGGGCATGGCGGGCGGGTCTAGAGGCAAGAGGGTCCAAGTAATCCAGGCAAGAGGCCTCTCCTCCCTCTAGACAGCAACAAAGAGCTGCTATTAACCACAAACAAAGGTCTTTAAATATGGAGCAGCACTGACCTATTGAATATTCAGCAGCTGTGGGGTCAGGGCGGTGCACTGGAGCTGGAGTCTAGGCTGGCTTCTCACCCACTAACCAGGCAAGACAATGACTGTCTCAGTGATGTTTCTCATCTCCAGAACTGGGGATGTGACCTCATGGACTTCATGGGTGTGATCGTGAAGACAGGGTTACTGGCTAGGATTCATTGAGTACTTACTGAAATAGGCTATTCGAGGTACTCAGAATGTATCACCATGTTTAATACTTTGAACTTAACTTTGAATAGAATTATCCCATTTAGCAGATGACTAAACTGAGGCTTAGAGAGGTTAAGTGCCTTTCCCACTCACACACCTATTAAGTGTTGGAACTAGGGCCCTATCATAGGCTTGTCAGATGTCAAGCTGTGGTTTTCACCATGAAACGATTCAATGGGCCATGGATTTGAAAATGTTTCATAATCGCTAAAATTCCATATCAATTAAAGTAATGATTTGGTTGCCCAGCTGGTGTGGTTGTGTTTGAGCGTCAACCCACGCACCAGGAGGTCGCCAGTTCAATTCCCGGTCAGGGCACATGCCCGGGTCGTGGGCTTGCTCTGGGCTCAATCCCCAGTGGGGGCCACGCAGGAGGCAGCTGATCAGTTTCTCTCTCATCAATGTTTCTCTCTCTCCCTCTCCTTTCCCCTCTCTCTCTAAAATCAATAAAAACATAGTTTTTAAAAGTCATAATTTGATTGTTCTTGCATACGTTCCACAGGAAAATGTGTCCTGTTCACATTTCATAACGACAGTCCCTGGTGGAAAACTATATTTTTTAAATGGCCATCATTGAAGAGAAATGATTTTTCCTTTTCAGACATTCTTGGGAAGTTCTCCATCTTCAAATTTTTTTTTAAAAAATCACAACCATACCTTTGAACACAGGCATCATTTTTATAACTATGGTCCACCTCTTCTCCTTTTCACACAGGACTACACACTTTTCAGAGCGTGGCAGCATGTGGTTTCTCAGGCCGGCCTGCAGAGGCAGGCAGCGAGGTGCCCTGGCTTTGCAGCAGGGAGGCCGAGGCCAGACAGATGGCAGCTTGCCCAAGGCTTTGATGTTTGGCAGACTCCTGGTTCCACTGCTTCTCACAGAGGCAGGTCATGTCAGCTCTCTGAGCCTCGGTTTTCTCATCCCCAGAGATAATAAGAATGTCTCGTTACAGTTATTGTCAGAATGTCTTCCTGAGTTGGTCCAGCTGAAAGTGTCATCAGTGTGGCCACTTAAGTCCTGTGGTCAATGTGTGGGCTGTTTGTTGACCATTTGCACGGGGAAGCGATTGGGAACATATTTCAGATACTGAGGTGCCTCCATCTGGGAATACCTAGACTCTGGTTGCCACTGGAGCCAGATTTCAGCAATTAGATGATCATTTAGGTGGACAGGTGACTGGGTGATCACAGGAGGCGTGGGGACAGGGGCAGGCATAAGTACTTTTTCTGGTGTCCCGTAATCTTCCAGGTTAAGGACAAAGTTAGTCTCTTTGAGGCTTAGAGCAGAGTCTTGCTGGTAGAAGGGCTTCCATTTGAAGAATGAATGAACGAATGGGCAGGTGCAGGCACATCTGGAAAGCATCTTTAGGTCCCAACTTTCTTTGAAGCTCCTTCCACAGGACACCAAATCCTGCCAACGAGCACAAACACTCCCAGGATGTGGGCACAGGCCAACTGTGATCT